ATTAACTTTATCAATACGGGGATTTTCGGGGTCGCTGATCACGGATCCGAGGTCAATTTTGCAAAATTCAAGATGGCGAATCCAAGATGACCGACCAAATTTTCAAAAAATAACAGATTCGCGCCAAATTTGGTATACGGGGGTCACTAATCATGAATCCGAGATCAAATTTACAAAATTCGTTTTTAAAAATTTAATCAATTACCTATGTACTTTAAGAAGGTTAAAACTTGATTGGGTACTGAGGTTATAAAGTAAACAAAAATATTAGAGAATGAATTTCGCAATTCTGATCTCGAATTCTGACCATACACCAAATTTGGCACGAATGTTATTTTTTGAAAATTTGTCCCCCATCGTTGATCCGCCATATTGAATTTTGCAAAATTGACCTCGCATCCGTAATCAGGGACCCCGAAAACCCCCGTATACCAAATTTAGCGCGAATGGATTATTTTTTGAAAATTTGGTCGGCCATCTTGGATCCGCCATCTTGAATTTTGACCTGTTTTTTTGAGGTTAGAAAAAGAACCATCAATTTTGACCACAGATTTACTTTCGGCAGAGTCTTAACAATATAACGTTTGAATATAGAAAAAATATTTTGTTGTATTTTTCCTAGCACTTTTTCATGAATTTTTGCTATTTTTGACCTGTTTTTTGAGGTTAGGAAATTCCTGCGATGTGTGAACTCAATTCTGACACCGGATTCGTGATCAGGAGGCAAAAATACTACGGATAACATGTCGCTTGAAAAGTACAGACAACTTTTTTTTGTGTGGCTGTGTAGTCTTTCATGTTAACATATTTTTTGTTTTGCTGTCTTTATTTTAAACTTACTTTAATAAAAATGATTTTAAATTTTCGGCACATCAGTTTTGTTTATTCTGCCCTCAAATGAGTTTTTTTATATATAGGTTGTTATAAATTAGTTGGTCAAGCTGTTAGCCGCATATTTTTTGGACTGAAATAATGGAACTTTTCTTATGCCACTTTTCATTTCGCAGCCCCATTTTCAAAATACAGGGTTGCAACCCCCCTCGTCTCCATTCGTGCTTTGTTATTTTAAACAAAAATTACACAAAAAGTGGTCCGACTTAAGGTCAAAATATGTGCTAAATTTCAAATAATATAACTACAATCACCGGAGTTATCAATAGACATCATTTTAATTTTAATTTTGACCCCTGTATTTTTAAAATGGGGCACCGAAATGAAAAGTGACATAAGAAAAGTCCCATTATTTTAGTCCAAAGAATATGTGGTTAATATGTTAATTTGTAACACCCTGTATTGTAAAAAGTGCTAGAATTATCAATTCTTTTTTCTAAATGTATTTAAGGAAGCAAAGGTAACTGATATACACATTGGTTTATTTTATTTAGGAGGTGATTTCTACTCCCATATAGAAAACTTTCGGCACAAAATAATTTGAAATTAAAAAAAAACAACAGTTTGACCAACTCTGAGGTCTCAAACACATGTATTTGTTTTTTTTTTTTTTTTGATAGTCAATCAGGTGTTTTTTTTACATATTTTTTGCTGTTAATTTTTCTTCATAGTAACATCTATTTAAATTTTAATTTGGTATTAACATGCCACTTTTCAAGCTTCATGCTGCTGTAATTTTAAGAAAATTTAAAATTTTTTGAAAAATTAGAAATCGACCGTTTGTATCTATCAGATAGTTATGGAAACATTTAGCAATTATTTGCGCAACCCTCTCAGAGTTGGCCGCTTCCATTTCAGTTACAAATTTTGTTCAAATGTTTTTAATTACGTTTATGTGGACTTAGAAATTATCCCCTAAAAAACGATGTGGGTCCTACACAACATCAAAATACTTTAATTTTTACAAACTGTCACCGCCTTGAAGTATGGCCCATTTATTCCTAAACATCCTATGTGTATTTAAAATATACAATGTAAATTTTTAGATTGATTCATTTTACAAATAATCCTAGCATGAATTTTTAAATGTTGTTCATTGATCACACAGTTGTTAATTTTTTCACAATTAGCAAAATTAGAAGTGAAGCAACTACCTTGTGGCACTACTTGTTTTACAGGGTCGGAAAGTCCCCATGGTTCATCAGCCGTTACTTAAGAAATCCATGCGATAGAGAAAGATGGTTATAATGAAGGCGTCTAATAGTCACCGCCCATTTCGCCCTTCCACAAATAAGATCCACTTCTTATTTGTGGAAGGGCGAAATGGGCAGTGATTATTACGCCTTCATTACAGCGATCTTTCTCTATCGCACGGATTTCTATGACTTGCTTTATCGCTCTCACGTAACGGCTGATGAACCATGGAGACTTTCCGACCTTGTATGATCATTATTATTTTGTAATAAAACATTCCGGACTTATACAGGGTGTCCAGCTAGGAACTTACTTATCGCAATTTCAGATAATACCTAACAAAAAAAATATTGTTTTAAATTTTAGTAATTGTGAATCTTCCAACTGAACACCATGTGTTTATGTTTTTTGAGTATGCTATCCATACTACTTATGTTTTGAGTTTTTGATTTTTTTTAGCTCGTAATCTTCATTTTTAGCTAATAGCATAAGATATATGTTTAATAACTTTTAATGTAAGGCAAAAAACTGATGAATGTACAAATTTAAATGTGTTTGAGGTAGTAACAGGAATACTAACTGTATATAAATTAGATCTCTGTACAGAATAGTTTGAAAGTACCTTAAAATGGGAGAAATGCGAAAATAATTTAAGGCACTTATAACAATTCCTCGAATAATGTTTTAGAATCAGTTTTTTAGTTTTAAATTCAGATAACTTTATTAAAAAAAAAATAATAATGATTGTAATTTTGGATGAAAGCATACGTAGAAAGACCAAATATATTTTTTTTTAATTAAAACTTAAAATTTCAACCCATAAATTTTGACTTGGAAATATGAAATTTCTATTTTAAACAAGAAATCTCTACTTTGAAAAGAAAATTCTAAGTTTAACCACAACATTTTGAGTTTCATTGTCGTGTTTAAACTTGAAATTTTATGTTCCTATTCCCAAAATTTCATTAAAATCGACCGAACGGAATTTCACATAAGGTTTGTGCGGGGTCCTTTTATGTTTCAAACTTGGAATTTCAAATTCAAACTAAAAATTACAAAATCAAATTTGAACTTTCACGTTCAGATTTGAAATTCTGAGTTCAGTGGAAATTCGAAATTTCGAGTGATTGACATTTTGAGACTATTAAATTTGAAATTTCAAGTTTGATTTAAAAATTTCGTGTTCAACTCAAATTCTGACATGAACTTAAAATTTCTTGTTTCCAAATCTAAGTTTCAAACTTGATATTTCAAGTTCAGTTTTTTTAGTGTGAGCTCAAAATTTGGTAATTCTGGCCTTTCTACAGTTTTGTGATATTGAATAATTACTAAAATTTCTCTGTAATTAGAAAATCTCCAGGGTACCGCCAATGTTTTTTTTTAAATTTTTTTTCTTTATATACCAGGTTGATTAATTAGATTTCTTCAACATTTTCAAGGTAAATTCAGACCAGCAGTTTCAATTTCACTTTTTGTGGAAACTTCCAGAAAGTTAATAATGAACATTTGAAATTACTATACATTTTAGCAAAATTGATTATTTTTCTAATGAAAATCTTCTTTAGAATTGTCCTTATACCTTCACCTAATTAACTGTGATGAAAAGAAATTTATAGTTTTTGGTGATTTATAACAAACAGGAAAGTTACGTTAAAAAATTTACGTCTTTCTTTTTTATATTTTGCGTCGTAGCAAGTTTATTCACTGCCTGTTAGTTTTTAAACATAAAGTAGTTATTCAGTTGGTATTTATAAATGTATTTTAATTTTCACATATTTTAAGAGATGTAGGTAGTCGTTGGGGTATAGTTGAATCAGGCATTAAGTAGAGAAACTCGTTTTTATGTCAATTTTTAATAATTTGTGAGTGATACCAAAATTTGAGAGATCAATGCTCACTTGCGCTTACCTAAAGCCTGGTTCTGCCAAGTAGATTTTGTAGTAGTGGGTCTGTAAATATTGTAATAAAAATTCTTATCTGGAGAAATTTTGTTTTATATAGCAACACAATAAATTCTACCTTTTCTAAAATTGTTAATACAAAAATTTTAAAATATGCACGTTCCACACTAACACCACTCCACTTCAACTTCCATGTAACGGAATGTTAGTTTCTGAGAGTTAGTTCAACATTCTAATTTATATGGTCACAGTATTCATTTCTGGGGTCAAAAATATACAGTTCCATATAAAATTTTCAGTTTGACTTCTAAATGACCTTGAAGGTCATCGTCAAGGTCACATTCGAACGTACAATTTTCCGCTCTTACAATTTCCAGGATCAAAAGTACACGGTTCCATTTAAAATTTTCAACTTGACTTCTAAATGACCTTCAAGGTCATGGTTAAGGGCACCGTTGGATTACTCACTCAGAGCCCTGCAACTTTTGTCCTAATCATTTTTTTTGTTTGGACAGTATTTTCCGGGAGAGAGGGGGTTCCAAAAATTTGGAACACCCTATATAAAGCGTTGATTGCGAGAGAATATTTGAATTAACATATAAGTTCTTCTATCTTTGTTAAATGTATATGGTTCTATTTAGTGGGAGAAGCAGCGCCATCTACACATTAGCTGTTCAATTTATTCACCAGCGTATGTAAAGTTGTTACAGTTGACTACCTTCCAACGAATTCTTCCACAGCTTACTGCAGTTTCCGAGCAGTAGATGGCGGTATGAAATCTATTTGTCTGTTCTGTCTACTTCATCGGATCTAAGCATCGAAAAAAAAATTAATTGGAATGATGTATCTCCAAACGAAAATTGTCATCATAAAATTAGTGTTTTTCTAAAGGCGCTTCCGTATGCATCTGGGGTCGCCAAACATGCCGTGATGTCTGTTTTTATGTAAGTGCTTCCGCCGAAAAAAAAATGGAACATGTCGTTTTCGAGGAGTTAGACTGAATGTAGTTTTGGATTGCTCAGCGCCGAGTCCACTGAAATTTTTTCACATTTTTCTGAACCCCAAAACGTTTTGAGAAAATCGATGGACTATACGGGCTGTTACAAATTTCACTTCGAATACGAAGTAGCTTAAATTGGGGCAAAGTTGCATAATCAGGAGACCAACATTTATGCCTGTAAAAAATCAAGGCTAACATGATTAGTTTTCGAAATATTTGAAAAAAACCGAAACAGGAAATCCGTTTTTGTTTCATTTCAGCTTTGTACGAGGTGATATTGAAAAAAGAAGAACACTTTCTCATGACAACTTTTTGCCCTCTATCGAATGGCTTAATCAATTTTTGTATTATTGAAACATTACTGTTTCGTCTCCATGGCCATCAACTTCATTTTTATAAATATGGTCCAGGGAATTTTATTACATATTTTGCAAGCCGTCATGACCCCCAATACTGTACTGTCTCAGCCCGAACTAGATTCAGACGTTTTGTCTCGAAAAAATCATCTTTAGTGTATTTGTTCCAAATTTATTTAAATTTTTTATTTAGATTTCTATGTTTCTTGAATTATCGTACAGTCTAAGTGTCGTTAGACCCTGTGAAATCCACCTAGTTATTTAAACTCATCATTTTACGTTACAATAAAACATTATTAGAGTTTGCTCATCACTATCGCAGCATAATATACAACACGCTTGTATTTATGGTTGCCTACATATGGTAGTGTATATATGATTGCATATGTTATTTTTTTTAATGGGTACATTCAGAAATAGATTTAAATTAAAATTTTTTTAATCGAGTTTAATGGTTTCCTGGGTATTGTTGTTGCCTCTCTTTCAAACAAGGCACCGACTTAGAAGGTCTGTTAATCCTTATGACTAGATTAAAACTTAACATGGAACAAAATTTATGAGAAAATACATAAAAATAACTTTAATTTAAAATCATTAATTTAACAATACGTTTTATAAAATTAACATTACTAAAATTACATTACATTCTAGTAACGAAGTTAAAGATCTAACGAATACGGTCTGTTAAAAATATAAATAAAGCAGTCTTAGATTGGAGGGTTCACGATCCCATTCTTTGTTTGAATTTCCTCAAAAACTCTTTGGCTTGTTTATCACCTTGCCTGTGCTCGAGAGCTTTTATTCCATCAGAAGTCATTGCTGAAACGTAAGCAATAAATCTATTTATAAAATCTATTACAATCAATATTGTATTTGTATTATTTTAAGCTTCAAAATAAGGTTTCAATGAAATTTGATATTTAAAATATCTCAAGTGTTTTAAAATATGTGATAAAAGAAAATAAATAATAATTAAAAAACTAACGATACGTACTTGACTCAGTGGGTCGTGACAACTGCAAGTGAATTTGCGGCAAACAAGAGATGGATTGTGTGGTATCTTCAATGTCCTTAAAGTGTATAAATGCCTCTCCTATATACTGATTGTTGTATCCTAGTAGATCCTTGTCCTTAACACTGAATAAAATTAGCCCATCCTCCAACTCTTTTTGGTCGGCAGATAGCTTTCTAAAACGAAAAATCGCTTAAAATATATATGCAGTTTAGTTTTACGGAAAAAATGTATTGCTGCATCATGTCTTTAAAGGGCGAAACTATGTACGGCAAAGGTTTCCCGAGCTTGAGCGGCTTTAGCGTTTTCACCGTCTCTATTAAAAAGAAAAAGAAGCAAGTGCCAAAAATGATAAATTTTATCAATTTGACATTCCATTTCAAATGAATGAAAATTCACAAAAATTAAATCTAACGAAGCAACTAAAAACATAATCTGACAGAGAGACTTTCGAGTGACGTGAATTTGCCAATGCTTTAATTTTCATGTAAATTTTTAAATTTTAAAAAAAAATGGACATTACTTGTTTAACAACCCATTATTATGAAGTACAAAAACCTTTGTGATAAGGACCAACTAATAAAACCATAAATGGGGGCAAAGTTGCGTAATCGGGTGACCAACATTATGCCTCTAAAAAATCAAGGCTAACATGATTAGTTTTGGAAATATTTGAAAAAAAACAAAACTTTGGAAATCTGTTTTTGTTTCATTTCAGCCTTGTTGGAGGTGACATTGAAAAAAGAAGAACACTTTCTCAAGGCCACTTTTTGCCCTCTATCGAATGGCATAATCAATTTTTATATGTAACGTTTTGTCTCTCCAGGACCATCATCATCTTCACTTTTTTAAATACGACCCTAGAAATTTTATTACATTTTTTGCAAGCCTTCGTGACCCCCAATACTGTACTGTCTCAGCCCGAACCAGATTCAGACGTTTTATTCACCTTCAGTGACAAGTTCCAAATTTATCAAAATTTTTTATTTAGATTTCGTTGTTTATTGAATTATTGTACACTGTAAGTGTCATTAGACCCTGTGAAATCCATCTAGTTATTTAAACTATTACCACCACGCGTTACAATAAAACATTTATTATTATTAAATATTACCATGACTCAATAAGTTGTTGAGTAAAAATTAAAACATTATTACAATAATTTTAGTTTTATTATGACAAATTAATTCTTAAAAATGCATATGAACAATCAAAATGCCAACTGAATGTTATTCTTTAAAAAATTTCAGTAAATATTCAAAAACATTTTCGTTTTGGCAAAGGTTAAAAATGAGGATCAGCGTAATATTATCGGAATTTATTATATCTGTAACCGCAACTGTGAAAGAGCATGTCAGATGTATTTGCATGTATCTTGAAAAAAATAAATTGCCCCCATTTAAGCTTCTTTGTACCTCTTACGGTTTCCGAGATCTCTGTAGTGAGAAGCAAAATTGTAACAGGCTGAATATTTTCAGTGATTTATATTTTAAAGTATAACTTTAGTTTTTTAGTTTATAAAACTAAAATAAGGAACATTTTCAACATGCACTTTGAACATGCTTCAAATACAATTTACCAGGTGCACAAATATGAAATGTGGATTTTTATCTAAAAAAACATGTTAAATTCGGAAGAATGATAGAAAGTGCTTTATTCAAAGTAAGCTCCATTGCTTGTTCATTTTTCCCATCTTCCAGGCAATTTGTGAATACCACTCCAGTAAAAATCTTTCCCTTTTGCTGCGAACCATTCATCGAGCCTATTTTTCACATCTTCGTATGAACCAAAGCGCTACTCAGCAAGTGCGTGACCTATCGATGCAAACAAATGGTAATCGGAAGGAGCCAAGTCTGGTTGAGTAAGCCGCATGTGGTAAAACTTCCCAGCTGAGTGCTTCCGTGTTGCGAACCGGTGTTGCCTCTTTCGGTATTCTGGCCTTTTTTCAAGCAGCGAACGGTTCAAATCGGTAAATAGTTGTTGGTAACGTTTAGTATTAACCGTTTCCCCAGGTTTTAACAGCTCATAATAGATCACGCTCCTATGGTCCCACTAAACACAGGGCATCGTCTTTCTGCCAAAACGATTTGGTCTTGCGGTCAATGTAGATGGTGCGCCTGGGTCTACCCCTGATTTTTTGCGCTTGGGATTCTAAAAATAAATCCACTTTTCATGCCCGCTAACTATACGTTGCAAAAACGACTTCTTGTACCGAGCCAGCAAAATGTCACATGTTTTTGCGCGTTTCTTTTTACATCTCTTGTAGCCAATTGGAGACAGCTTGTTGACTAACACCCAATTGCTCGGCGAGTTGTTTTTGTGTTTGCGAATCATCTTCGTCCAACAATGATTGCAATTCCACATCTTCGTATTTTTTTGGCAATTTTCCACATTCCTTGTCTGCAACATCGAAGTCACCACTTTTGAAATGCCGAAACCATCGTTCACACATATCTTCAGCTGGAGCTTGTTCACCATAAGCTTCTCGAAGTAATCTCTATTAAATTAATGCTGTCCGCGAATGCTCTTTGTTCAGTATAAATTTTGACATATTGAACACAATAACACAACACTATGCACACACTTTTCCAATTTATCATTCGTGCGCGTCTTGACACTTGCTGATAACACAACAAAATGGCGCACTGTCAGATCTTTATAGCACAGGTGCATTGGTGCGCCATCTGTTGTCTGAAATCCGCATTTCATACTTGTATGCCTGGTATATATTTTTTTATTACGAATTAAATTTTAAGCAATTCAAAATTAATTCATTACTTACAACACAAATTTTTCATCAAACAGCGGAAACTGCGTTTTGCTGTGCGTCTTAGTTTTTGGTTTATCAATTCCACTAAATTTGTGTTCTGGAAGAAGGTGTACACGTACGAATGCATCACAAGATCCTAAAATCATACACAATTAGTAAAAATCATAAAATAAATGTAGCGTCGTGTACCGTTGGAATCCATCGCTATTAAATTTCTTGCATTCATCACTTCCACCATTAAACTGTTGCCTTCGAATTTAACTCTAACAGAAATTTCTCCATATGGCGAATCTTTCACTTTTTCAAATTGCTCGGTCATAGTCAAATGTACCTAACACAAGAAATATGTAATCATATTTTGGTTTCGTTATAAATTTCATTTAACTAACCTCGTGGATCAAATCTGCAGTTTCCAAACCGTTTATCCTCAGAATTTGTTCAGTCCTTTTCAAAGCGTCACAGTTATCACAGTCAGCGGGATTCTTAAATGACCCCAACATCAAATTTAGGGTCTTACGGAGGTTGTCAAAGAAGGATGGAGGTCTCCTTTTCTGTAATCAAGATCCATGTTACTCATAAATGGAAAACTGTGTTTATAGGCATGGCACGAAAGAACAATTTTTGAAGTTTTCTACAAGGTTTTGCATTTTCTCATTGAATTTTGAGAAAGATTGTGCAAAACCCCAAGATTTCAACACATCTATGTTACAGATGAAGTCAATTTTTTAAGAGAAACAATAATTAATTATCATAATAATTACATTTTTGCAGAAATATTGGAAAAAACTTGAGTCGCGTCAAAACTAATAAAAAAGTACTTATTTTTTTTTAATCTTTCCGAAATTACCTGTACTGTAAGTTCCGGTGAGGTAATTGGAATATACGCCTAGAATTTTTTCAAAATGGCCGAGTAATCTCTAGCCTCAAACTTGATCATACAAAGTTTGACATATTCAGTATCTAAAAATGAAAAAAAAGGAAAATTATGTGCTAAAGGCTGCCCAAAACATAACCTCAAATATTGGTTGCACACTCAAAATTACCATTTTTATTGATTTATACTTACAGGTTTAGAAAAAATTGAGGTTAAGATTTATAAATTTGAGGTTATGTTTTGGGTCTACGTAGATTCATGATTTAGGAATATGTTTAATGTTTATGATTTTTTTTTTGTTTGGCAGCCTTTAGTACATAAATTTTCCTTTTTTTTTCATGTTTAGATACTGAATATGTCAAACTTCGTATGATTGAGTTTGAGGCTAGAGATTACTTGGCCATTTTGAAAAAATTCTAGGCATATATTTCAATTACATCACCGGAACTTTATAGTACAGGTAATTTCGGAGAGAATAAAAAAAATCAGTACTATTTGATTAGTTTTGATGCGTGACTTGAATTTTTTTCAATATTTCCCGCTGTGCGGCTTGGGGGAATGAGTGACGCAGAAATTGAAGCAGCATCGCCCATCGCCTGCCTTTAACATTTTAATGATGCGCGTTGCCCAGTGCACGATTGTAGTTCTTAGTTAATATTTTTTTTGTATAATAATTGTAGAAATGTTTCCTATGTATGATCCAGTATGTATTTTATTGGAAATGCCATTTTGTAGATGGAAAATTGAGGACAAAAAGGATTTTTTAAATTGCGAGAGACCTGTGCCTTAGCATGTGGAATAAGAAGGGATTTAACAATTTTGGGAGCGTCACGCGAGGCTGTCGTAACCATAAAGCTCCTTTGGAACATACATGTACGGTGTGCGTTAATGTTCGCAGAAGTCCACAGGCCGATCTAATATGTCGATTTTTTATAAAATCTAAATTAAAATTTTTCTCATGAACATCAGTTTTTCGGTAATATTGCAAACGCAACTAAAAATTTCCAGATTCATTTAAAGCCGTTTGACCTTGAAAATTTGAAAATTTTCGCCAATGCCAGTAATGCTTTTTTTTTCTTTTTTGAGTCATTCAATGAATATGCTTCACCTATTCTCAATGTCACGAACCGCCACTGGCATGGAGACTTGTACATATAATGCTAGGAGGTGATCATTTCTAACATGATTTTTCGTTTATTTAACTTATCATTCATTTTAATACATTTTTATTGAAGCAAAATCTTTTTTTTTTCAAAAACTGTAACATTGAAAAAAAATGAAAGGGAATAAATTTGTTTCAAATAAACCAAGCAACGAAAAGAGATTTTTAAATTATTATATCTTTTCGTTGGTAGGAAAAGTGTACATAATTCCATTTCTATAACTTTCTCCATACCCTGTATATTGTTATGAATATTAAATCATGTTCTAGTTCCAATTTGAATTTACAAATGGGCGAAACTAATTCGCATAAGTTTGAACTCAATTTGTAAATGGATGAACTTGATTTACAAAAAAAAGTTGGATTTCAATGGAAAACCTTATAATTATCATGACTTACGTCTAAATTTGCCTGAATGATTTCTCCCAGTGTATCGCTTAACATATTCCACACAATTTCCAACGTTCTATTGAAATTCTCCTCATTCAGTTCTCTATGAAGCGTTGCCAAATTATTATCCACATACATCATCAGTCTGTGCACGCTGTTGCTGTCCTGGTTGCACAGCTCAGCCCCTTCAATCAGTAAACGCTTCATAGAAGGCTCCATCTACGAAATTAACACACAAATTTTTTAAAACTGCAAAAAATTATATCAAAAAAACTCACCTTCGAGACAACTTTCTCTAATAATTCGATAATCTTATTCCTAACGGTGTCTATCGCATTTGCGATGACGTTTTCCAAAGTGTGTTGACACCTCTGAGCATCGAGTGGGCTCTTCAAATCAGAAATTTTCTGAATGACGTCGTCCATCCCCAAATCTCTAGTAAAAGGCTCCAGGGTTTCCCTCACATAGTCTATATTGTTTATAGCGAGGCACCATTCATTTGTAACCTCGAATTTTTTTTCATATATATCCTGTACGTCGCCCATACCGTCCACCTTGGCGGACATCTTGTCTGCGTAGAATACACAGCACCGGCAAATGTCCTACGGAATAATCATCGTAACTATTGGCTTTGTTTTATATTAGACAGGGTATACCATATTTTTTATATTTAACAGGGTAGAATAACATTGTACTTTTATTTAAATTTATATATTTTTAAGCGAGGAAGTACTGTTCGGAAAATTAAACAATTTTTACTTATCAATCGTACTTACATCAATAATCTTAGCAATAAACGTGTAAGATCCCTCCACATTCGGCCAGTTCAATTGTTCCCAAAATACTTTTATCTGCAAAAACAAACATTACAGCCACCGTAGACTTATTATTTTACGACCTGCAAAAATTACCTGATAAAATATAGTCAAAGTGTCCACAGCAGAAGAACTGTACTTCACCGTGTTGTCAACGTGCACGAGCTTGTCCAACTCCACCGCTTTCTCGATACGCTGCAAGGCCTTGTACACAGCGATGTCCAACCACTGTGCTACGCCCCCGTGGAACCACTGGTGGAAATTCTTTATGTGGAACGTGTCGCTATCGGCCGGACACAAACCTACTCCCAGCATCGTAAACCTCTGTATGGCTAAGTATAATTCGAACAAGGACGTGCCTTCGGTTAAAGGATCCACATTGGCATCTCCATTCGTCAGATTGTTGTATCCGGAATAGTTGAGTTTCTTTAGGCTTTTGCATATCGTCACCACCTCGGGTTCGCATAACGTCGAGACTTTTGCTTGGTAGAATACGTACAGGGCTTTGGCATATGCAAAATTGACAGTCCTAAAATAATAATAAGCTTTGTTTACTTAAGCGACAGTTTGACCAAAATGAATTAAAAAAGGAGATATAATCAGTTATTTTGTAATTTAGTCCTAGATCTGCATGGACGAATATTTGAAAATTTTACAAATATTTGCTAGAATAGTTTATACAAACGAATATTTGGAAATTTTACTAATATTTGCAAGTAAATACTCAGATATTCTACAAATATTTGATAGTTAATGCTCATATAAATGAATATTTTGAAGAATATTTATTAGCAAACATTTATATGATCAAATATTTGGAATTTCATGAATATTCGCTAGGGAACGCTTATAATATTCTAAAATTTTACTAATATTTACTAGTGAACATTTACATATAAATATCTCTTGAAGCGGGCTGTCTGCAGACATCTGATTACGTTGGCCCTTTCATTTGAATTCACAATTCTACAACAATGAACAAAACTAGATAAATTATTCACGCCCTTTGATGAGCGTCGATTTACTGACTCTTAAGTCTAATAGATTTGAAACATCTTTAAAATCGTTTTAAGTTTTTAATTGTTTTATTGTTACTATTTTAAAGCACTGTGATTAGATTGTGAATCTCAGTGTCAACCTCAGTGTCTGACATAGACCTAATTTAGGTGATCTACATAATATATTAATCCACCTAATTTGATATGACGACACACAAATAAATTGGTCAACGATAATTTGGCAGAACGAGAATTGCCGAATATATCAGGGTGATTCAGAACTTACCTAATAAATTAATTTTGGATGTACAGACTCTTACAAATACAATTTTTTAAAGAAACAATCAAAAAGGGCTGTTCGAAAATGATTTAAAAATACACTTCTGCACGGCACTGGAAACTGGTCCACTGTAAAACCTGACCTCGCACAATGCGACCGGTATGGCGGCAAAGTGTGATAAAAACGGACAAAAACAAGAAATAAATAGAATTTTCAACTGCTTTTGCCATTATTGTTGTTATTAATTAATAAAATTATAATTAATTTGTGGTTTTAAATAATAAAATAATTTGATATACCTGATTTTACTACAACTGTTCAAAATTTTATACACCGACGTGTAAACACAAATGTTGTCTTGCTTCAACATAATACAAATATTGTCTTGCTTCAGCATAAATTAAAAGGATATCCATCACCTCCGGGTTGCTATACACGCAAGACATTTTTGACACTAACTACTAAAAAACTATTGTAAACACGACCACAGGAAACAATATCGCAACGATGACGATTGTAAAATCGGATTTCAGTATTCGGAATTGCTGAGACCACGTGGCTCTCCACGCGTATTGCGAATGGTGCTAGAGACTACAGTTGTCCAGCTATGTAATGGTTGAATGTACTACAACTTCAATATTTTTTTTCTAGAAAACTATTATGGATTTTACAAAATTTTTTTTTACGATATTGACTCCATTTCTCACACCACATCTATTCCCAAATTTTTTTGGATAAGTTGTGAATCACCCTGTATAATATTTATTTTAGTTTTCAGTATATCGAGACTTTCTACATTAAGTATTAGTTTATATTGGAATCGAAACAGAATTTGTGAAATGCAGTTTTGTGTTTTATTAATTCAAGGTAGTTATATCCCAAGTACGGAGTTCAAGTAGAAAATTTTCGAGCAAGTCTTATATTTGAGTAACGTAGTTTCGACAAATGGCAACATCGTAGAGATCATAGCTGTGTATCGGAATGCGATTTATATTTACAGGGTACAAGGTTAAGTTAGGTTAGTCTTAAATATAGTGGATGCATTACAATCGTTTGATAAATTTTTAAAAATTTTTGTAGGGATATTGCTCTTATTGCTTGATGTATTTTATTAGTTCCATTAAACGAACAACGCAAACTGAAACGAAAAAGGTTTTAGTTCAAAATTTTGTAGAATGTCTTCAAAGTGCAATGTTGCCATATTTCATTAATGTGATAATCATACGAAAAACGTTAAATTTGAGTATTCATATCTTTAATCCTTTAATCCAGATTGTTATATATAACATATTTCTACACAAATTAGTTTTGCTCAAGCAATTCCGCAAATGGGGTTATTTAGCTACAGCAACGTTTTCATTGTAACGATAACATTTTTCGAGGTGGCGTCATTAAGCCAATGCTAAATATATTCAACTCTGATTAAGCATAACTCAGAAGCTATGTGGTAAAATCAGGTAAATCAGGTGCAAAATTTATTACAGTGAAAGTTTTGCAATTATCTCAAATAGTGTCCATTTAGGAGATAACTACCTTAATATAAAATTTAAAGTGGTATTTAGTGAAGTGTCTTGTGTAGTCTTATAAAGTTATTTTTATTAAGTATTTAGTGATGGTACCATGTGTTTATGCGTCATCATTGTCAAATTTCGGTATATTATAAAAAAATATGTATACGAATCAAAAAAGCTGAGATATGACAACACATGACGTAGCTCCCTATTGGCTATGCGCTCGCAAGTAGAACGCTAGTTTGTTTAAGCTTACATTAGCCTGTCCTGTGGCAGGGTATGAAAATTAAGAAAAGGAGGTTAAAAACAATCAGTTTACATGATGGAATTTGATAAAACAAAGATATATATTTGAATTATGATTTTGTACAGGATGCGACAGATATTTTCCATCACAGTATGTACTAGTATAATAAAGCGTATTATGTATGTTTTTGTTTTTTTTAATTGTTTATAAATAAATGTACCGATTATTTGCCAATGAATATCAAATAGGCATGCATACATGAACCAAAGAAAAAAAGTAGGAATAATTATAATAAATGTATCAATTAATGACAATTTGTACTTACTCTTGGAAAAGTTTATCATAATACTCAATGGCTTTCTGCAAGTCGCTCCTCACAAGCTGAATAATTTGAATAAGATTCTGCAACTTCGACAAGTCCGTTTCGTCGGGTCTCTTATTATTCTCCAAAATGTGATTCAACCAATCACAAGCACCTTGAGACACTGCGTCATTCAACGTCTCATGAATGTTACAGTTAGGCTGATCACCCTGGTACGTTATCCAGGGATATAAATTCACGGGGAAGAGATCCGTACTCGGAAGCGGCTCCAAGGAACTAATACAATTAAGTATCTTTAACACTTCGGTAACTTGCTTCATCGTAGTTTTTTCATTGGTGCTTTTCTTCCTGATCTTTCGTATAATGCCGAAACAGGACGGCAACAGTTTCTTCGTCGCGTCCCAGAATAGTTTGACGTCTTCCTCCGATACGGAATTTGATTGTAAAGGTTTGATCAACTTGTCGAGTAGATTCGAAAAGAGTGTAAAGTTCAGTGGGTGGTTTTGATGAATGCCACTAAATACGCAGTACTGGCATAAAGCCACCTCAGTAGGCGATAATCCTGATTGGGCGATATGCTGGGTTAACAACTGGTCCCCGTGGGGGCTGAAGGTACCACACCACCAATGGGGAGCTACCTGAGATAAATAAAATGGTTATTTTAAGGATTTGTGTGGCAGAGCTTTAAAATATTAACGGGATTTTTTATAAACTGAGAAGAATAACACGTTATCTTTCTTAGATATTTTAATTAAAAGGAACAATGACTGACATGAAACAAGTGTTTAGAGAATAATAACGAATACTAATAGGTATTTAAATTTCAATTCGAATCTCCACATAATCATAAAGAAAGGTGTAGCAAAATTTTTATATGGTAGAGTAAAATAGAATTTATTGAAAAATCAAATTTCAGAATTCTCACTGATCTTATCTTAATAGCTTGTTACTAAGAAAATAAGTATTAGTTTTCTTGAGAATAGCATTAAGGCTTATATTTTAAAAGTAAAGGTACATGTTCTATTTTGGCTGTAATATACCGGGCCTGCCATTAGTGTGTGGGCGGAGGACAGTTCCTAAGCCTGAAGAGATATCAAAATGAAATTTAGTCCAGAGGCGTACGTCTATAGGGAGCACATTTTAAAATTATTTTAATTTTTTTGTACTAATCATATACAGAGTGTTGCAATCTTGCATTTTGTTTAAATATAACACCCTGTATATTTATGCATATTAGGTTAGCCCTATCAAAATGCAGCTAAATAATATAGGGTTTATGGGTGTTTCGATGGGCCGTTTTCCTAGTAGAGGCTCGTAAATCCGAAAAGAGACTCCTATGCAGCCATTTGTAAACACTCAGTATGATGTAGTTTTAACGAATCTGCGACATAAATAATCATTGATAGTCTTGAAGTTTCTTAGAAACCACAGAAGTATTGTCATTATTCTTTAGTTATACAGAGTGATTGCGAGGTTTGCAAATTCAAAAATTAATAAAAAATTTTAAATGGAATGGCCTATTTTTATTAACTAATATGAAAAGCAGATAGAATAACCTTTCCAACAATACCATATTATGTGGGATAAATATACAGGGTGTTGTATTTAAAAAAATGCAAGTTTGTGTCAACTCTCTGTATTTGATTACCACAAAAAAAATGAAAATAATTTTAAAATGTGCTCCCTATAGATGTACGCCTCTGGACTAAATTTCATTTTGATATCTCTTCAGGCTTAGGAGCTATCCACCCTCCACACACTAATGGCGGATCCGGTAGAATGAGTATTTACAAAATGTGAAATATTAGTACACATCTTAAATTAAAATGGAAATATATTTTTTCCCACATTTTTCCAATCAACCATAAAAATAGTTACATTGTCAGAGGATGTTATTTTATGATGCTATAAAAAAAAATTGAGTCAATTGCTCACGTAAGATCATAATGGAGGTTTAATTTTTAGCCCACGCACCAGGAACCTAATTGTGGCAAAATATCTCTAAAAATTTATGTTAAGAAAAAATTTAACATTGTGTGTCAAAATAATATGACCCAGATCTGAATATTTTACAATATTCTGTTAAATGATCAAGTTTCAGTTTCATTTCAAAAAGTAAAATGATTGTGCCACAATATTAGACATAAACCTCTGGTTGTTCATTGAGTGCTTTATAAATTTTTCTAATGCCACAATGTTTTATTTAAATTTATATATTTCTTTTTTAACAACATTTAGTTACCTATACTTTTTTAATATCAGTTTTTGCACTTATATTTTACTTTAAAAGATATTAATTATGCTAATTTCAATCAAATACATAAAATTTCCCAAAAATTCTCATTTGATGTATGACTTCATGAAATGTAGTAAGCTCTTACTTGTCTACAGAGCCGATTATAATGACAAAGACAGAAATGGATAGCACAAATCCGTATAATAAACAGAGTCAACCATTGCATTGCTACATTAGGTAGGTACTTCCCAAGAATCAGACTTTTTTTGTCTATGCCTGATGTTTATTTCTCCCATTAATAAAACCAAAAATAGTTATTTTATTGTCTTAAGCACTATTTTTGGCATTGAAAGCAACGGTTTGTCAGCACTAAACGCTTGACTTTAAACACAAACTGTGGGTACCTACAATATGGTACCGAAGGAAACAACTACTCTGCTTACTTAAGCCCTGTTCAGCATTGCATTACTAGATAATGAGAGTGTAATCCAATGCTGGACAGGGCTTTAGTCAGCAGAGTAGTTGTTTCCTACAATGTCATTAATTAGTATAGCTTGTTTTTGAGACTGCTTTTTAGCATATCTAAATGTTTGCGCCAAAGAGCATATACGGTCTTTTAAAGTAAAGTAAAGTTATTTAGATTCTCCACTGCTCTATTTCTGATAAGAATAATGTAATACATAATTTTTTCAACACGAAAAAAGGACCTCTCAAATATATTAGGTACTATTAAAAGTAATAAAAAAAAAATAACTAATCTATAAAGAGACTAGAAATAGAGTTAATTGAATAATTCAATTTCTATTTTTTTTTGTGTGACAAAATATGGAATTAAATAAAAGTAAAGAAGACAACAAAATTAACAGGACATTTAGATTAAAAGTTTTAGAAAAACTACATGTACTTACTTTCGACATTTCCAGTTCATGTAAAAGAATTAGTCGCAACAAATGTCTGTGCTCCTGTTCGGCAACTTGACTATTCTTCGTAGAGCTGTAGGAAACCCGAATTTTAAGTACACCTTGCCTATTCACTTTATTCTTTTTATCCAAACTGTACCACATTGTCATTCCCGATGCTGGAATAGTCTAAAAGAAAAGTTTTTCTCAGAACTGTTTTACTAATGCAAATTTTTTAAACTCACGCTCAAGGGAATCTTCGCTCGACCAATCAGTTCATTTTCGTGTTGTCCGGTTGTTGCGGTTAAAGCAATTTCTTTCACGAGTTTCCTCATACCTCGCACACCCTTTACTTCGAAGATTTTCCCCAGTTTTTCCTTAACTGATTCGGCAGGATCAAAATCCCACACCTCTAGGCAAAGAGTGTCGTCATTTGTGTTTTCCGTTATAGGCCTACAAAGAAAAAATATATTTTATTTTTCAAAACTTTTCCCATTTTTAATTTCTTACAATGCGAAATGCTCCTCCCATACTGGATTAAGGGTGACGGGCTTAACGGATGTGTTATATCTGTGGGAATTACTTGATGCCAAATATAATGTAACGAAAGGATCGCTGGATCCATTTGAATCTTTCGGTTTCAAGTCTTTTGCTTCTATTACTTCCACGTTGAGTAATAATTCTGGGGCCTCCTTTTGTTCGGCTACCTCCATGAGGTATCTATGTTTGTCGTTTGATATTTTGAAGGCATCCTGGGCGTAAGAAAACAGGGCGATCTGTCCCACTTCATAGTTCATATCACAGCCGACATTGTGGAGTATTTCATATAATATTTCTGTGTACAATTCATCAATCTAAAAAAAAAAATTTGATTTATTTATTTCGAAATAATACAAATACCGAATGAATAAAAAAATGGAAAGGGCAGAAATATCACATATTTTTCTTTTGGTGTCTAATAATAAAAGCATGTTTATTAAATATTTTTAAAAATATATTTGTACATACTTGCATTTGTGATTTGTTAAAATGTACTGAAATACTTTGGCTAATATCCAAAATTTCAGGAAATGAATGAAAACAAATGAATAAAATTTATTAGTTGCATAATTAGTTATTTTAACGATTTTCAGAATAGGAATAAGTACTGTATTTATATTGTTAAATAATAATTATTGAAAATATATTACCTAAAATTGGAACATTTAATTTAATAAACAGTAGATAGGTATACCTAAAACAAGATTTATTTTTAATTTTGTATGCTTTATATTTAAATAATTCTTCAAATTAAATAACAATAATTAGTTAAAACTATGTGTAAAGTTAAAATATCAAATTTTTATTAGGAATATCTACATCTGATATGTTTTTAAAATGTCTTTTTTTACAAAGTGGTTCTACAGAAAAAGAAAACGGAACGATTGCAAACATTTTTTCTAAATAATGCACTTTTTATCGTGTTCCGTTTAAGTTTAAAGTAGTACACTACTTAAGCATGTTATTTATTTATTAAAAAAAACATTGTATATAGCCATATACATTGTAATTTTTACTGAAACTTTTTACTTTTTAGTTTTAGAATATAAGATGGATGGCGTTACCGTAGCTTTAACCTCGGCGGTATTGAATTCATAGTTAAAGATGTACGTATTTTAACTAAATGCATACTATATAAGTGTTCTATCAATCAATATTTTAACAAATTTTAGTCTTTGATGTAATTTCTATGACTATACAAACAAATAGATTAGAATACCTCACGTAAAAGTTTGTAAATTTCACTAGACATCGCATTGGATCGTCTTAGATGTAAAAGCGGTATAGGAAGGACACCAAATGTTGATTTGGGTTCGTCCCGGCACAACTCTATTGATTTAACACATTTTACACTAAAAAATATTGATCAGTATATACAAGTTTAACAATGTTTAGAAAATATTTTGTTTTGGATGAACAGCTGTGTTCATCCTCTAATATATTTTTGCATGGTACAGAAAAACAACCAATTTTTCTATAGCACCACATTTTTTATTAATTAATGGCAAAGAAAAGCGTTGAGTATAAATAGCTTATTATAGGTATGTAAATATGTACGTAGCTTTTATATGAAAAACGTAGACATTCAGCTGTTAAAAATATGTATGTGTGTTGAAAGACATAATAATGTGAATACTTTCCTAAAATTATGGATTTTCCCATAAGGATTACTCAGCTCATGTTTTATATTTAAACAAATGTAATAAGAAAATAAATTTATAACTCAAATATCCCGGCTATAATCATACATTTTGGTTGCCCGCTTCAATATTAAGATAAATAATTTAAAATTGCCACAAAATTAACAGAAATTAGATTTACATATTTAAAATAGGTTTGGAACTAAAGTTTCAGTCACTTTTTCAATTCAATTTTGAAGAAGGTTTTAAATATTGATTAAATACGTTTACACTCGATTGAAAAGGAATGTAAACATTTTAATGGCTTAGGAAACAATTTTGAGGCTCGAAAATATAGAATCTTAAAGATAACGTACACTGACAATTATTTTTTTCAAATGTCATAATGCAAGATCAGAAGAAAAATGTTTCGCTTGAATCTTACCTTTAAATTTAAAGCTCTATCTACGAAATTCGCAAATTTATTAATCGTTTTCCAATTTACGCGATTTTGTTGGACTACGGTTCCTATCAGTATAAGAGACATATTGAAAGTCAGACTCTTAAAAGATATCGACTCTTACGGCAGCAGTTCTGGGTATTTTTATTACTTCATCTAATTTTTGCATGTAATGTGGTCGATAATAAACAATTTCGATTATTTTACCACAACTGGGTACCTATAACGTAGCCATTACTCAGAAGTCATCGAATTTACGGCATTAAATAAGCGAAAAAATTGAGAAATAAATGGAAAAAAATGTAGATAATTTGTAAACGAAACGAGAGGAATAGTATTACAATACAAAATATTACATTCTAATAAAGTAAAATATGATGTACTTTGAAGAAACCCACTGTAGTAGTCGTTTTAATGACACAGATATTATAGGATAAAATCCACCTTTCACTTCCAACCAAATGAAATACTGAAATGTGTAATATATTAAATACAGTTAAACTATTTTAAAATTTGTCTACGACGCCACTGACTGTCAAACACAAATGTCAAACTCAACTGATAACACATCAGAGAAGGTTGTGTGTGATTTTATACTTAACATCAAGTAAATGTTTCTAAACGTTAAACGTTGTATATTAGCTTGCACTGATTAGAAAATATGTATTAATGCCATATGAATATTGTTTTTTCCTCTTTCATTATATGAGTACCTTCCCAGAGATCTTAAGAGATCATCACCTATGTTTCAAATACATTAATTTACATCTGATGACGAATATACAAAGCTTTTTTTCGACGTTTTCTTCTTGGTAATAATTCATACATAATAATACATTCTTCCCAGAAGCATTTTGTAGAATTTTGGCATTGAACTAAATGATACTCTGTATATTACTGAAGGTTGTTTGAAAAAAGAGAAATTAAATACACTATGCTAGTAAACCATTTACGAACCAAAACTCACTGTCATAGAAGCCAAATACAGGCTGGTTTGCCTCTGCAACTCCTCTTTTTTTACACCCCTGAACTGGTTCCTATTGAAAGACCTCCTCCTCATCCTGGGCAAAGTCCCTGGCACACCACCGTTCAAATTGCATTCCGAAACGCTTTGTCGCATCATTTCGACAACTTCGAAAAGCTTAACCAATGAACAATTACAAACATTCAGCGGCACTCATCTTGAACTTAACAGCCAAATTTCGCGAAGGGTAAAAAACCACGGACCGACATTCGTGAAGGTATATTTAAAAAAACAGCGCGCCGTTTTGGAACCGTAGGATAGTGACTGATCATCTGAGGTTCAGATGTGCCAAAATCTATTCCTGTAATGTTACGTTACTTATTCTAATATCCACAACGTAAGAGGCTGCTGTTCGATTACATCGACCACGGATTGATAACTGCAACATTAGAACCTCTCAAAATTAATTGTATCCCCTCGAAAAGCGAGGCATGTGTTTTGGATCGGCGTAAAACTCTTTAAAAATAAAAATATACCGGCGAAGTACAAAGGTATTCTCTGTAGGCTTCGCGACTAGAAAAAAATGGACGTACATATTTACAGTTTTATCTTTGAGGAATTTCATCTTGGAAAACTGAATCAGGGTGAGATGAGAGGTTACTCATTGCACTCTAAATATATTTACCAGTTAGAAAAATAAGACTTATTTATAGCCGGAAAGTGCAAAGAATCATTTGTAGAGTTTAGAATTAGATTCAAAATAAAGCTGGTACTCGGAAGTGGCAGATACTACCTCGATTCAAGCTATTCAGCGTTAGATCAATGTGGTGAACAGTGAATGTATTTATGTTCACTTGTATCGGGTCAACAACGTTAAACGATTCTATTCAAATGCAGGCATATACTTAAAATCCCATCGAAAAATGGAATGGTGAAATCCTAATGTTAATGAGATTATTTCATATAAAATTCTTCCTTCGAATATATCAATCAATATTTTAACAAATTTTAGTCTGTTGTAATTTCTATGACGTATACAAATAGATTATAATACCTCACGTAAAAGTTTCTAAATTTCACTAGACATCGCATTGGATCGTCTTAGATGTAAAAGCGGTATAGGAAGGACACCAAATGTTGATTTGGGTTCGTCCCGGCACAACTCTATTGATTTAACACATTTTACACTAAAAAATATTGATCAGTATATACAAGTTTAACAATGTTTAGAAAATATTTTGTTTTGGATGAACAGCTGTGTTCATCCTCTAATATATTTTTGCATGGTACAGAAAAACAACCAATTTTTCTATAGCACCACATTTTTTATTAATTAATGGCAAAGAAAAGCGTTGAGTATAAATAGCTTATTATAGGTATGTAAATATGTACGTAGCTTTTATATGAAAAACGTAGACATTCAGCTGTTAAAAATATGTATGTGTGTTGAAAGACATAATAATGTGAATACTTTCCTAAAATTATGGATTTTCCCATAAGGATTACTCAGCTCATGTTTTATATTTAAACAAATGTAATAAGAAAATAAATTTATAACCCAAATATCCCGGTTATAATTATACATTTTGGTTGCCTGCTCCAATATTATTAACATAAATAATTTAAAATCGCCACAAAATTAACAGAAATTAGATTTACATATTTCAAATAGATTTGGAACTAAAGTTTCAGTCACTTTTTTCAATTCAATTTTGATGAGGATTTAAAGATTGATTAAATACGTTTACATACGATTCATTGAAAATATATATAGGATCTCCCTTAATTTGGATGCCAGACTCGTATGAGCTGTTCCTTGGTCAAAAGGAATGTAAACATTTTAATGGCTTAGGAGACAATTTTAAGTCTTCGAAAATATAGAATCTTAAAGATGACCTACACTGACAATTATTTTTTTCAAATGTCATAATGCAAAATCAGATATTGTTTTCAACTTTCCGTTCGTGTATTTGTTTTAATTTTTTATTGAAACGGAAAAAGTTACTATTTAAGCAGAAAAAAAAGAAAGAAAAAAAAATCGGGAACTTCAGGATGATTTCACTTTAAAATCTATAATTAGAAGAACAGATTCCTTATTGAAAATTATGTGAACTTATTTCTACAGGGTGATTCGCAAATGGTGACCAAAAATGAAACCTCGTATTCTTTGGTGAATTTTAAGGGGTTTTTCCTAAAGAGTTTTTATCTAGTACGCTTCGTTAAAAAGATACGGGATGTTAAACTTCAAAAAATATTTTTAATTTTTTTAAATACTTTTAAAACAGATACCGACTGAACTAATTTCAGTATTTCAGATTAGAACCTGGACACCCAATTTGTGTTCAAATAATTTTATTAGGCAAGTCAAAATTGTGAAATTTTCTTAGAAAATATAAAATTATATTCAGCATTTTCCAACAGTAGTGTATATTTCTACTCAGAAACTGTCGCAGTTAGGTGAGAAAACGTAAAGATTTAATCATAAAATAACTATTAGGAGGTTTAATTCCATGATTCTACGAAAGGAACACCCGGTAGAAAATTCTTATTTCACATATGCGCATCTTAAAAATGTACCAACAAGAACATACTTTTCCACTTCACAGTAACAAGTTCATAAATTTGCAATTCTAAAATCATAATCTGAAATGAGTCTATTTTCGGCGACATGTTCCACATTCCGAGCCACTTCTGATCGGTGACGTCATTCGGGCGAGAAAATCCATTAACAGCCCACTAATTAATCCCAGGCGGTAGAAAAATACGACCAGCAACTTACTTCACGCGTATTATATTGACTGGGGGCTGACCTATTTTTAAGACGGTTTGTTTTTGCAACGCTTATCCAGGCTCGTAAAGTTCTTGCCTAATAATTAAAAGTGGCGAATGATCGGTATTACTTTGCAAAAGTAATGTCTCGGTATTTGTAAACCAATTTTAAGATGTTTACATGATTAGTTTTCAATGATATGTAGGTGTGACTGAAGTTAATGACTGCCACTTATAAAATGCAATATTGATTACAGAATGTCAAATATATAGAAGATAAAACGTCATTTCAATGACATTCAGGAAATTTAATTTCAAAATTTGCCATTTCGATTTCAGAAAAGATGAAAACAGATTGGTTTTCGAAACTTAAACAATAACCTTCAGAAGTCAGTCATATACAGGGTGTTTTCTAATTTATATTTAAAGAAAAAAAGCTCCTATAAACATATGGCCGGGTCACATGTTTATAACAACTTTTCTTTAAATACCATAAGAAATTGTATCCTGAAGTTACGGACTGTACTGTCTAATGATATGTGCATATTTTGTATTTGTGCATATTTTATATTTGTATTTGTAGCAACATTTAGCCAGTCAAATAGCTAATGCGTGTTCTGATTTAGTACCTACCTCTCAATTTTTGAAATGATGCAGAAAAATCAGGTTCCTATATTTTATTTACAAAAATTACTCTACAGATGAAACTAATTAGATTTTAAACGAAAATACATCTAAATTGGTTTGCGTTATTCTCAAATATAAAGAGATGTTATTTAAGGACAAAAGGGGAAAAATTATCGTGACCGTCATTTTACTTCTGTGTTACCATCCTATTTATACATCGGATATTTAAATCTGACCCCATATATCAACAGCGTTTACATCCCATTAGATAAAAATAGGTCGGTTGACAAAAGGAAGAATCAAGTGGAAGAATACCATCAATATTAGTAGATACGCGAAGTTTGCTGTGCATAATTTTTAGAAAACCCAGCATTATTTCATCTTCATATAAAGAGCAGTTTTATTAAACAAAATGATCCAAATGTAGGTAATATTCGTTGCTTACTAATAGTTGACAGAATCATAAGTTGTTGCATCCAAAATAAATTTTAAAAACAATTCTGGTGCGATTTAAATTTAAATAGACTGTTTTCACTTTTACTTGCTAAAAACTGTTTAGTTGACGTAAACGCGCGCCTTACTGTCTTTAAAATGTGATGTAGGTAGCCACAAAATAGATCAGGGAAATGGATACATTTCGATTCGATTACGACCTATATCTATAAAATATAGTGGAAAGATAAATAAATAAAATTATAATTTCAAAATAAATCCGTAAAGTAAACTCATCCATTATCTATATTAATCGATAAATTTATAACAGGCAATAAATTACACTGTTTAATTACATTTCTTCATTACTGCAGATGTAAATAAATAAAATTGTATCTATTTTTAACACTTTCAGGAAAATTGCATTTCTGAAACATGGTGACCGATATATCTTGGTAAATACCTACGTTTTTCTTGAAAACAAGTGAAGATAATTAAACTCCGAAAACGATGTTATATTTTCAGGGTGTTACTCAAATATAGGATAAAAAAATGTTACACAAATAATCACATCGCCCGGTAACATCTTTGATATTTCTTTTTTCTCAAAAAAATATGTCTATATCGAAAAAAGTACCTGAGCGCCACTGAACCTTAACCTCCAAAATAGTTACAAGTTTAAAAAAAACGCTACATAAGGAAAGTGTTAAAACTAAAAATTTTTCAGTGGAATCAAGAAGTAGAAAAGAATTACCAAAGTGTGAATACATAACAAATATTTTTTATATCCTATATATTTGATTTGTAAATAATTCTTTTTTCTAAAATTTACTATGTGATTCGTACATTTTTCTTTCAAGTCTTCTACTTTCTTTAATATATTACTAAGTCAACCTTATATACAGATTTTGAAAAAAAAACTGTATAAAACAACACGCACAGTCACATTTCATTACCAACCTCTGTTTTTGTCCAAAAATGAAGATTAAGGTGGTTGTAGAGGAACATACAAAATGCATTCTTAGTTTCAGAGTTACTTTTATAGTTAAGAACCTATATTTTGTTTGTTTTTATTTCAAGAAATATTTATTATTACGACTCAGAATGATTTAAAACATGAATGTATTAAGAAAACAACTAACTTACATTTCTATACAAATTCTGTTTTTCAAACCAACGCTCCCTCTCCATAATTGTAAATAAACTTCAAAAATAAAAAACTGATTTGCTACTAAACTATTATCTATAAATTGCTCTTTTAGTCCGTCATATTTAAGATTTATATTTACAAAGATAGGTATTTATATGATATGACACTTATCATTTTTGAATACACTTGAATAAATATTATAGATAGGGATTGTAAAATACATAGCGCTTCCTACTGCCTATCTTGTAGAAAACGTTAGGACTCAAGTACGTGTTAGTGATTGTACTATTTTAATAAAATAACAATACTAAGACGTAATTTATCTTCATATTCCATTTTTAATTTAAGTTAATATTGCTAACTAAGATGGAAAAGATGGATCGCCACTTATTTATATGTAAAAAGATGTTCAGGTTCACAGGAATAAGTTTGCGGGTGAGAAACAGAAATGTGAGACCGTATTCAGTAATAGGCGAGCGGTTCACCACTAAAAAGATGCTTCTAAATGAAGGTAACTGACTAAATTTTTAAAACAAAAACCTACAGCATGAAACTTTTTTTATTTTATAAAGTGTATTTTTCTGATAATTTACATACATTTTTTAATATTTTTCGGCGAGATCAGCCAAATGTTATAAACAAAAAAGTTTTTAAAAAAATTACTCGCCGAATGGCTTTGAAAACCGTGTAAAATGGACCAAAATAAACACTTTTTGTTCATTGACAAAAATTTGAAAAATGCTTCGTTTCCGAGATATTTACAATTTAATGTGAAAAAAGTGACGAAATTGACAAATTTTGGGAATTTTTTTCTCAAAAACTACTGACCAGTTTAATTCTAAAAAAAAGCATAATAATCGGCAGATCTTCTACTCTAAGATGCATTTTTTTGGTATAGGCCAATTATTTTATTGAAGGTCTAAAGCGAGTAAAAAAAACAGTTTTCAAAGCCATTCGGAGAGTAATTTTTTCTTTACAACTTTTTTGTTTATAACAATTGACTGACCACGCCAAAAAATATAAAAAATATATGTAAATGTCAGAAAAATACACTATAAAATAAAAAAAGTTTCATGCTCATGCTGTAGGTTTTTGTTTTAAAAATTTAGTCGGTTCATGCCTTTTTTTATGGGTGAACCGCTCGCCTATAAGGTCGAATAGTTCAAATGGTCTACCGCATGTTCTCTACAGATCCGGCTTGGCGGTAAAATGTCAGAATCATCAACACAGGCGCTCAAGCATATTATACACTTCAAAAATTCAATATTTTTTGGCCTGTATGTATTAACCTGCATAAAACGTGTATCACCTAGGTATCTGTAAATCATTCCACCGAATTCATATCGCACTCCTCACTCTTCAACACTAAAGTAATTACAAAAACAAAGTACAAGAAACGGAGACGAAAACTGGGAAGGTAAAAACTCTACTTACGTTCCAGGCTGTAGCAATTAGCTCCGATTTCTCTTTTTCGCCCTCAACTTCCGAATCAGACGAGATGGAAACGTCTGCGTCGCTCTCCACCGTTGGTAGAGCCTCATTGTCGCTCTCTTCTTCGTCTTTGGCGGGTATCACCTGAGCAGCGGCCTCGGCGACTCGCTGTTTCTCGATTTGTTCTTGTGTTGCCGCGAATTCGGCCTGTTCTCTGAACAGAGAACCGAATTTTTCGAAAAATCCTCCGTCCACTTGTTGAATTCTAAAATAAAATTAATGTATGCAATAAGAGGTTACTAGATGGCGGTGTCGACGGCTTTCATGAAAGGTCAAAGAATATGTAATGTAGTTTTTTATGTACAATGGTGTGCCAATTTCGACATTTTTGGAGGGTCACTCATATTTCCAAAAAAGAAAGATAAAACGCAGTTAAGATACGCCGGGCTCGATTTTCGAGAAAAACTGAAAGGCGAATTAGTTCTCTTCTCGACTTCATGCCGATAACCATTTATTTGTGAACATAATTTTTGAAAACGGCATAATAAACAAAATATTGTTTAAATAGGGAAAAAGTAAGTTTATTTAAATTTTGAATTTTCTTGTTTTTAAAATCCAAATAGTACCAGATTTTTTAAATGTTAAAAATAATCCAATTTATTTACTACCTTGAATCACGTTTTTATACTTTTGCTACTGCAGGCTGCAGTTGAGCTGTTAACATAATTTCGGTTAAAGTTTTGGTTTATTAAAAAGAAGACACTTGGTATTTAACATACACTTTTATTTACATTTAATTTTATTGCATAGTTAACATTAAAAAGTTCAGTAGTGCTTTTACTATCAAACTAATGACAACAGGTATGTACCTAACACAAGATTATAACAGTGAGCAAAAATTTTTTCTTTGTAGAAGCCTTTGTAAACGTCTTAACATTTCTTATTATGTATAGGTTCTAATCTATAACTAACTTGGAAGACTTTTTAGGAAGACAAAGTTTACATGGTGATTCACTAGTGTCAACTTAATTAAAACTTTACAAAACAATGGCTAAACTTGGCAAATCTAAGAAATACCTTAATAACAGTCTGTACATCACTTAAAAATAATAATAATCAGATATACAAGGTGTCCCATTTTAANAGATTTTACATTCAATTTCATTTTAAATTTGAAACGGTTCATCTTACGCCTCCTAAAAATGATGACTCGATTTTCCTTTGATAAAAGACCGACAATTTTTTGCTCTACTTTGCATCGTATACGATCGTACTATAGATGGCGGTATCGACGGCTTTCATGAAAGGTCAAAGAATATGTAATGTAGTTTTTTATGTACAATGGTGTGCCAATTTCGACACTTTTGGAGGGTCACTCATATTTCCAAAAAAGAAAGATAAAACGCAGTTAAGATACGCCGGGCTCGATTTTCGAGAAAAACTGAAAGGCGAACTAATTCTCTTCTTGACTTCATGCCGATAACCATTTATTTGTGAACATATTTGTAAAAATGTTATTTTATACAAATTTTTGCAACAAATGCAGTGATGTACGCGATAAATTTCTATAATTTCCTGGGTTTTCAGTAATAACATAACATAAACAGATATTATTTTAAAAGGGATACACTGGGCAGTTTCTTAGGGGTAATAGTAAGTGTTGCTCCAAATACAAATCTGAAAATATTTTAGTCATACAAATAGTTTTTTTTATTTTGCACTTACTCATGTCTACGCCGCCACTGGGCCCGACTCGGTTGTATGTGCACCTATTATTAAATACCTTTTTAAACCAACTTTATGAAATTAACAGAGTAGCAGAGAGCGAAACTGCAATGAAAAATAATTTTATAAAAACAGACTGCTTTCGTACCACCACATTTTTTTGTTAATGCGCTCCAAGTTAAGACAAAAAAACACTCGAGTATTTTTAAAGAATTAATATATCTTGCACGATTTGTTAACAATTAACTAATATTGGTATGTGATAGGCATACACGTTGCTAATTGCAAGCAATTTGTTTAAAAAAAAATAATAAAAATACAGACTGATAGATTTTAAATATATTTTTAAAATCATTTAATTTTTTTTTATAAAAAGTATTTACTATTTGTTTTAAAACACTGTGTTTAGTTTGTGAATCTGTGTCAATGACTCGCTTTGTCACTGACTTAGTTTAAACAAATGCCAAACGAGAATGATCAAATAGGTCATTGATGATGTCAGTTCATCGCTTTACAAGGTTTTCGTAAGATGACAGGTAATTTACGTGACATATTAGTTTTTACTGATAGCTATTTTAAGTTTACGAGAAAGGTTAAAGGAAGTCAGTCGTCATCACATAATTATTTGAAAAACAAACTTCTGATAGTGTTCCAAAAGGTCGAAGACAGTCTCCCTAAAAATTACACCTACATCACCCTACACATTTTTTAATTTTTGAAAACGGCATAATAAACAAAATATTGTTTAAATAGGGAAAAAGTAAGTTTATTTAAATTTTGAATTTTCTTGTTTTTAAAATCCAAATAGTACCAGATTTTTTAAATGTTAAAAATAATCCAATTTATTTACTACCTTGAATCACGTTTTTATACTTTTGCTACTGCAGGCTGCAGTTGAGCTGTTAACATAATTTCGGTTAAAGTTTTGGTTTATTAAAAAGAAGACACTTGGTATTTAACATACACTTTTATTTACATTTAATTTTATTGCATAGTTAACATTAAAAAGTTCAGTAGTGCTTTTACTATCAAACTAATGACAACAGGTATGTACCTAACACAAGATTATAACAGTGAGCAAAAATTTTTTCTTTGTAGAAGCCTTTGTAAACGTCTTAACATTTCTTATTAGGTATAGGTACTAATCTATAACTAACTTGGAAGACTTTTTAGGAAGACAAAGTTTACATGGTGATTCACTAGTGTCAACTTAATTAAAACTTTACAAAACAATGGCTAAACTTGGCAAATCTAAGAAATACCTTAATAACAGTCTGTACATCACTTAAAAATAATAATAATCAGATATACAAGGTGTCCCATTTTAATGTATCGAGACGCATAATTTTTTTAATTCGACTTTTATAAAAAAATATTTCCAACAAAAGTTATCAGGTTTCTAGAGAGTCAAATTATGGTGACTTCGAAGTCAACTATCAAGGTCAACCTTGATTTTTTAAATGGAAACCCATATTTTTTATTGCAGATTCGCATGCTGCGTAACTTTTGTATGAACCATTTTTTTGGAAAGTGCTTCGTTTTCTCGCCAGAGTGCTCTATACTTTTACTGTTCCATTTTAATTCTCAGGCTAATATCTCAACAAATAAATAGTACGGTGAAAAATATTTCCAACAAAAGTTGTCAGGTTTCGGGGGATCAAATTACCGTGACCTTGAAATTGACATTCAAGTCAATTATCAAGGTCTTTTCAAGGTCAACCTTGATTTTTATATTTTTATTACAATATCGTATTTTGCCGGAAAAAATACGTAACTTTTATATGAAACATTTTTCTTGAATTTCTTCTATCGCCATAGGGCGCTATAATTTAATTTTTCCCTTCATTTGTTAAAATGATGAAAAGAGGCATCAAAATAACACGGTTCTTAGATCCTATGGGAAGTTATTTGTAAATGTGTGGTCGAAATTATTCAATGATTAAAAGTACGTTACAATCCAATAATAATGTAGACATTTCAAAATATTGCAAACTAACTACAATTTTGAAGCAAAATGGGTACATGCCCAAGAAATATGCGATTTTCACGAGTACACATATTAGTGATTTTTCAAATAATGCTCCTGATGAAGTTTATTTAATGGCTAAGGTTGTTGTATTTGGGATTGCAGGAGCTTGTCGAATTTGTGAAATCAGCCAGGTAACATTAGATGGTATTGAAGACATTGAGGGTCCAAGAACCGTGTTATTTTGATGCATCCTTTTCGTAATTTTTAACAAATGAAGTGAAAAATTAAATAACAAAAGTTAAATTGTAGCACCGATTCTGCAGGATATAAATTTTTTCTATCTTTCAACAAGGGGATAATTGAAATAGCGATAGAATGAAGCCTTTTCAAGAAAAATGTTATTTTTTTCCGCAGAATACGAATCTGTAAAAATATAGGTTGCCATTTAAAAAATCAAGGTTGACTCTAAGGTCAAATTCAAGGTCATCACAATTTAACTCCCTGGAAACTTGATAACTTTTATTCGAAATATTTTTCTATAAAAGTTGAAATAAAAAAATTATGCGGCCTGGTACATTAACATGGGACACCTTGTATAATGTAAAAACCTTTGTGATCAAAATTCTAAATAAGATATAATAGAGCTGTTCATTGAGGCTGCTCCAGTCAAAGCAACTGATTTTATAAATCAGGTTGTTTTGTCAGTTAACGTAATTTCGATGCAACTGATTTGAGCAACATTAATGAACAAACTTAACGTTAGTCTTAAAACTCTACACAGTCAATATATTTAGACAATTTTACAGTGGAATGTAAACACTGCTGTGAAAACATCAAGAAAAAACTTTAAATAAAATATATAGGTAAATAACATATTAAATAGGTAATACTAAAATATCTGTCAAAGATATGTTTTATGTAATATTTTAAGTTCGAGATATTTAAAGTAATCATACTATTACTTTAAACTATTTAAAAGAATCACTAATAAAATAAAACGCAGGCATAATCAAATACTACAATTTTTTTCTTAAAATACAAATTATTTTAATATTACCAACTTTCCAATTTTTTTGCTTACCACTGAAGTCAATTTAATTTAAGATACTCAAATATTAATAAATACCTTACCCAATGATAAAAATATATCTTTTAACATCCTAACAAAATTGGTATTTTCAAACAAAACATTAAAAAATTATAAGCCGAAGTTTAATATTAATTATTGTGAAGATTTAAAAGTTTACGCTTAAATCTATATCTAAAATTTGTGATATTATTAAAACTATTTTTGTTAACAGGTGCTACTTTGTATCACATAAAGAATATTTGCTTCGAATTGTTGCCTTTGTTGAATTTATTTAAGGTTGCCTATGCAAGTATATTTAATATAAGTATAATCTTCTATACCATGATGAGAACCCTCACGACCTAACCCAGATTCTTTAATACCACCAAATGGAGCTTCTGCAGTAGATATTAGACCTTCATTAACACCAACCATGCCTACTTCTAAGTGCGAGCTAACTCTAAATATTTGAGTGACGTCTTCAGAAAAGAAGTAGCCAGCCAAACCTCGCTCGGTAGCGTTTGCAATCTGCAAGCTCTCTTCTTCCGTTTTGAATCGAATCAAACTTATCACAGGTCCGAAAACTTCTTCGTTGTAAACTTGCATGTTACTCTGAACCCCAGATATTATCGTAGGTTCATAAAAGAGGCTGCCAAGTTGACTAGCAGGTTTGCCACCTGCCAACACCTTAGCTCCTTTTGAAACTGCGTCTTCTACCATACCCGACACTTTATGGAACTGAGCGTCATTTATAAGCGGGCCCAGATTAACTCCCGGATGTGAACCGTCTCCCAATTTTAGTTGTTTTACTCGCTGTGTTAATTTATCTACAAATTCATCGAAAATCTCATTCTGTATTAAAAATCTATTGGCGGCCACACATGTTTGCCCACAATTTCTAAACTTGGAAATGAGAGCACCTTCGACGGCTTTATCTATGTTAGCGGAATTGTAAACAATAAAAGGTGCGTTTCCACCTAATTCTAATCCTAATCGTTTAATACCCGACGAGCATTGCTTGTATAGAATTTTTCCAACTTGTGTAGAACCAGTAAAAGAAATTCCAGCAACCAAAGGGCTTTCACAAAACAAAGCACCAATAGCGGGAGCATTATTACGATCACTTGTAACCAAGTTCAACACTCCTTTAGGAAAACCTGCCTCCTCTGCTAATTTCATAAGAGCCAATGCTGTGAATGGTGTGTCCTCAGCTGGTTTAATGACACAAGTACACCCTACTGCCAATGCTGCACTTGCTTTCCTAGTAATCATAGCGTGGGGAAAATTCCAAGGCGTAATTAAAGCAGCGACACCTATTGGATGATGATCGATAAATATCTTCTTTGATGGTACTGGGCTTGGTACAATTTCGCCACGTACATTTCTAGCCTGTTCGGAAAACCACTCGACAAATGAGTTACCGTAAGCTACTTCACCTGCAGATTCAGGTAAAGGTTTGCCAGATTCGGCAGTCATAATCTTGGCGATGCTGTCTTGATTCTCCACTAGTAAGTTATACCATTTCCTAAGCAGGTGTGCTCTTTCTTTAGCCGTGGTAAATTTCCAAGTTTCGAAGGCTTTAGCAGCAGCTTCTATAGCCTCTTGGGCATCCTGGACGTTCATATTGGGAACTGTCCCAATAACTGATCCATTTGCCGGGTTTATCACGTTAAAGTTTTGGTTACTTGCAGAAGTTACCCATTCACCGTCTACATAGGCCTTTTGATTTAAGAGATGCATACCTCGGGTCTGCATGAAACAAACCTTACTCAGCAACCGGCTTTTTACAAACATTTTAACACGCACTATAAAAACGTAATAATTATAACAAAGGTTATTTAAAACAATAAATCATGAATAAATATATACCTAACCAACAACTATCGATCGTCATTGGAGTACTGTCAAAGTCGAAATACTTAGTGCAGGTGGATGCTGCGCATGCGATTACTGAAATATATTAAATCTAATACGATTTAAATTTAATAACGCATTAAATAAACAATGAAATATGTAAATGTTTTATATTTTTTGATCTCTATACTCACAATATGGCTGGAATACCAATCACTAATCAGCTGCTTAGTGGTTATTGCAATAACTGGTTAAATTGATAGTAAACATAAGAGTAGGCAAACCTTTATAATTCAGATTGTATAGTGTGTTGCCTATCGCTACTAGCAATTACCAAACTAATTAATTTTTAAAATTAATTCATATTTACTATTAAAATTGAAATAATTCAATGCTAAACACTAAACATTCGAATAATTAAATAAATTCAAAGGCTAAAAGAGCAGAACTATTTTTATTTTTTCATCGGAACGGCATGACCCGATCGATGACATCATTATATATTTCGGTAACCATCAAAATTACGAAAATAGTGAGTTGATATCTGGTACAGTTTTAATGTACTTTTACTTAATTTACATATTCATTTCACAAAATTTATACTTAAACATTTTAAAAACTATTGAGCAGACACAAGTTATTGGTATCTAGGATTAAAAAATATATAGATTTATCTACTGAAGGAACATAGGGACCAATTAATTTAAAAGTGGGTCACGTAGGAAAACAGTGTTTAATAATAATCAACAATTGTGTTGCAGTAATAGGTATGATGTCTGCTTATTAATATTTATAATTTTTGCCACCTACGAATACATTTTATTATTTATCCGCTGTTGTTAAGTAAAACAATTCTAGAATATGGGCTAGGTACGCCCGCAAATTTTATTTTTGTTATCTAGAAAAATGTTAGATTTATTAGATTCTCTACTATAAATAAATTTACCTTATTTCATGATCTGTATGACTATGATCCACATTTGAACGCTGTGTTTGCAGTTTATTGTAAATATGCTTCCACATTATTTCTTCCGATTCCATATCCATATTGACGATATTTGTGTGTCAGGTTTTCTCAAAAATATATATATATATTTTTATCAAATATTAAAAAAGTAACTAGCCGGACGTACTATAGTTGTACAGCAATTCGACAGGCAAACTTTTGCATGCGGACACAAAGCAGAAACTGATTCATCCAACATGAACAACGGTGATCTAAAGAAATTATGACTTTCGACCTTGCTGTTGCGACGTACAGGGAATTATATTTGAAAACACTTATTTTTACTGTTAGATATACAAAAATGTGTGAATCATGTCCATAAAAGACAAAGATTTGATTCTCAATTCGGCCGACATTTCATGTTTGTATACTAGAAGCACGTGAAATTTATTATTTTTATTAAACCAAAAGATGATTTAAGTATTTTCTAAGTGTTTAAATTTCTTTACATTAGCAAAAAAATTAATAATGAAAATTTTTATCCAATATTCCTATTCCGTAGAATATTCCATTTTTATTAGTATTTATTTCCCACAATTATTATATTTCTTAAGTAGGTACCTACTTCATGCAATAATACTTTCAAATGCTGGTCACATTTGAGATTTGAGGCATATAGGCATATGAGTAACTAATAAGGCATATATGCATATGAGTAAATTTAGTTACTCATATGCATGCATATAGGTACAGAAACATGAATTTAAAAAGAGTTTTTTTTACGTTAAGGACAAAACGTGTTTAAAAAATCCACGGCGTATATTTCTATGACTGCATAATAAATTCGGACACTATAATTATTGATCGGTTAAACAAACTGCATTAAAAATCAAACTGCGTCTTTATAATAATTATTATGTAAATGTTTTTATGTAATTAGATCAAGATATCCTTTACCTATTCAATGCCATCCATGCATGTACACTGTATATTATGTATTAAAGGTAATTAGAACTTCCTGTGTAATTTTTTTTGCTGCAGTGATGTTTTCAGTGCCCTATATTGCTGGTGTTATAGATTTAATAGTGTGACATTTAATCCATTTAATGAAATAAGGCGTGTTCAACAGATTGCTAATTTCTAAATTAAAACAAATACACTCATTTCTATGATTAATTTAATTGCTTTTGAAACAGAGTCGGGTTACCCAATTTAATTTAATCTTTAAAAGCGAAATATGATATAAAACACAAGAAACATCTCTCACTTCATTTTAATATACTTAGGTAGGTACAAAAAGTTTGTCGTTTTGACTTACAAATATTTTGAAAATCTCACAATACTTAATTTTAAATTACCAACCAAATTTTAAATCTTTATCATACGTTGTTGTAAAAAGGTTTGTTTTTGCTAAAAACTTAATTAATGTCGCGAATGAAATGGTGAAAGATTTATTTTTATTCTATTAAAAAAATACACCATAAATATCGCGATATTCGGACAATATTATAAATATATATATAAAGTTTCAAACCCCAAGTGACAAACTAAAAGAATTATAGAATTTATATTTTTAAATTTATAGAACAATATTGACTTTTATGAAGTAGCCTCGCAACAGGGCACCATTTAAAGAAAAGTTTGGTCCCGGTTAAGAGTAGGTACGTCTATAATAAACCACTTGAAGAAAAAAACACTCGATAAACAGACTGACACAGCAGAGCACTAAAAATAAAATAAAAAATACTTGGTAGGACTAGAAAATGCCAAGATTAAACAAAAGAACACAAAATACGCTAATGATGACAGCGATGTTATACCAACAAGATATCACCTGCGTATGAGGCTATTCTTCCCGAGCATGCGCATTAGGAATAACACGGCTAATGTTAAATTTTCACTTTATTTTAAGTTTTAAGCACATCACTGTATCTATTTTACAAAACACGTGTTGGCTTCTAAATCCTTGTAAATATAAGTTAATTTGAAATTGTTCATTTCTATAGTATCTATGTAAATAGTAAACAAGGGTCAGATTCGATCTGTACAATTTCAACTATGACAAATTGTTACAGGTTCCCTAAATATGTGACGTCACACTAAAAGTGTCTACTGTCTTTAAATTTGGCATGAGGTACAATAGAATGAGCCTCTATCTAGCATGTGCGTAACTCCAAAGAACTAAACCCTTTTCAAAATAATACATTACAAAACACGCCACTGGCCAAAATTACATACGATTTCTTAATTATTTAGGTAACTTACACTAAAAGGAAAACTTTTCCTAACAAAACTTACCGTTCTGCTTTAAATTATTATTATCTGGAATAGGACCCATAGGCGGGATTTCGCCCAAATCATTGAGGGAACAAACATCTCTCGAAAAATTTTACATCATTAGGGAATTGACAAAATTTAATTTAACTTGTCAGTGATTTTACTTGTATTGCATACGAGTATTGAGCTCGCTTTCCCCCGCCTATCTGGAGTTTAAATCGCTTTTCTGTGGTTTTACGAGTATTGAACTCGCTTATCTGCGGTTTAACTACGATCTGTTGCCATACGACTATTGAAAAATTGCACCCCCTTTGAAGTTTAACTCTGAGTTTCATTTTTTTAGCTCAATTGCAATAATATTGGGGGGCAATTGCCCCCCTTGCCCCCCTCAAACCCGCCTATGATAGGATCCTAGCCTAGAGTGTAATTTACATCACATATCTTTAGTATTTAACTAAGGCAAACATTGTTAGCTCATACCTTAATTTAAAAATGTAAAATACATTCCAAAATAAATTCAGCTTTTCACTATTTTGAGAAGTCATAAAATCTTTATCTAAAACATATAAATATGAACGTAATCCGGTCCTGATATGATTAATGAACAACGAAGATTATCGTCCAGGTTTGTATGGTGACGCTATTAGACCAGGAAAAGAATGTATATTTGAGAAGTGACTAATGATCAATGATAATGATATTGTGAAACAGAAATGGTCAGCTGGGAATTTTGCCCCTGTGACCACTGACGTATGTTTGTACATAACTGATGCTCTCCATGCCCATAAACAAAAAATACCACATATTTGACAGTTGAATAGACCTTATTTTCCATTAAAATGAATGGTTTTCTTATTAGATTAGGCAACATCTTTTCTGGGATGTCCTGCGTTTATTCATAAACCTGAGTACACCTTCAGACATTTAATTAATACCAACATCAATAAATTTTTTAAGTTTACTACTCAAGGTTTTCTAGTATGTACCTACTACATAGATTTGAATAGTATCACAGTGCTATTCAAAAGTGACTGTCTTTCTTGACTGCTGATCTACTTTTCATTATTATTAATGTCTGCCCTGAACGAAATATTTATACGCTCATAGGTGACGTACACAGATAAATTTTGTTATTTGAATATACAGGGTTAATCATTAATAATGGTACACAGCTTAATGGCAGATTGTTAACGTCAAAATATGGGGACTGAGCCAAACATGCATTAATCAATTGTTGCTCCTTTTCGTTCTACAGGGTGTTAAAGTTGAAACAATATTTTAGATTTTTTGCTATATTGTAAGTATGTATGGACCGATTGTTCTGAAAATTTGTAATTAACTATAGAAATTGTTGAACCACGTTCATTTCTAAATAAAAAAGGTATACTTGTTACAAATCGATAAGCTCGACCGTTTTCGAGATACAGACATTTTAAGTTTTTGAGATTCGATGAGAATTAAATTTAAATTTATGTTTTCCAAAGTAGTAGACATTGACATAATACATTAACAGCACGTTATACCCGAGAAGTAAGAGAATATCTTAATTGAAATTTCTCGCACCGTTGGATTGGACGCGGTAGCGAAGTACCTTGGTCTGCACATAGACCTGATTTAAATCCGCTGGATTTTTACTTTTGGAGCTATCTTAAATCTCTAGTTTACAAAGACATTATTAATAGACAATAATTGTGGACAAATTTTAAGAATTAGTTCATATTATCAAACAACATAGAACTTTATTTAACATCAGACAAAATTTAAATCCTACATTGAAGTCGCTGGTGATTGCTTTGACAATTTTTTAATAAATAAATAAAATTTGCT